TGAAATTGCTGCTGCGGCTGTTGCTGTTGTTGTTGTGAGAAAAAGGGACTGCTTTGCTGAAAAAGCTGTGAGGGCTGCTGAGTTTGAAACAGCGACTGCTGCTGTTGCTGTGGCTGTGGCTGTGGCGTGGAGTAAAACGAGAATGCCATTGTTGGATTTTTGGTCTGGTTTGCAATCGAGGTCGAAATTGAAGAAGACCCTGTTTAAAACCCTAGAGAGGGAAAAAAGGGCAAGTGAAAGACCCGCCCTTTGTTCCAGTGTGGACTAGGAAAATTGAATCATCTTATTTTTGCATCCGATTTTTCTTTTTTCTTTTTTTTCAAACGCATCCGATTTTTCTCACACACCTTAAAAATTGTGTTTTTATTTACTTAAGAAGAAAAAACAGAAACTATAAAACTATTTTTGCTAAGTTGACAAAAGAAAAAAAAACTATTTTTGCTAAGAAAGGAAATAGGAAACTAACATTTTTTATCAACAAGGAAAACCAGTCCTTACAAATTTTTCTGAGTTTTTCATTTTCGCCTCATTACTTTTCAATTTGTTTTAAATGCTTTTGAAGCAAAAAGAAAAAAATAATATCAAAAAGCAAGTTTCGACCTAAGGTGTATCATCACCATCCTTCTCAACACTTGACACGTATTCATGGACATAACCATAGTTAACTGTTTGTTTCGTATCTCTGAAATCATGGTTATTCCCATAACCACATGTCAAGTGTTGAGATAGATGGTAAGACTAAACCTCGAGTTAAAGTGGTGAGCAAAAATGCTCTCCTAAATAAGGGCAAGATTTCCTATGCATAATTTGAAAATCACCAATATAAATGATTATTTCAGTTTATAACTTTATTTCACATCTGGATTCTGGACTTTTTACTTTGGCCAGTTTAGTTAATAAACAATTGTAAATTAGTAAAAATTGTTCTTATGGAGTTAATGGCAATAATAACAATTAATAAAAATTGTTCCATGAACATAGTTTTTTGACAATTATTTGTTTTTAAATGACCAAACTATAAAGCAGCATCATCATTATATAAGAGAAAAAAAATTATCTTCATAAGGTTACTATATTTAGAATTTATGCAAACAAAAGATTTCATTCCGTTGTCCGTATGGAGACCAATTATAATCGACAAAGGGATTTCATTCTTATTAACCAATGACAATGAACACCTAATTCCCTAATTAGAAATCAACATGGTAAACTTCACTCATGTCTGGGTAAAACAATCCCCAATGAGACTCAGACCCCTTAGTCTTGAGATCTTCATTGAACAAAGCAAATATGTATGCCTCCAATCCCTTTCCTGGTCTCTTTGGTGTTCCAAATTGCCCATGCTTGATCAAATTGCTGTTATATGTTCTGGCATTATCAATAGTTGCTGGATCATGTCCTTCTCCTGCTGATGGCCACCCTGTTTCAGCCACAACAATCTCAACATTTGGTGCCCCTACCTTCTCCAGTGCCCAATAGAGAGCATCTAGGGAAGCATCAAGCAAATTTGTGTACCCTAGAGCCCCATCCGTTACAATAACCTCTGAGGTGCTCATCAATGCATAGTCTAGCCTAATGTCATTCGGGTTGTCGCGGTAGGCGAAATATGGATAGGCATTGTAAAAAAGGGGGTAGCCCTTGGCTT